GGGGGGGGGGGGGGGGGGGGGGGGCAGCACAGCGGTACGACGACACATCAGACAGTCGGTCAGACAGACAGGCAGACAAGCAGGCACGGCAGATGAACATGTCGCAGGGCCGCGCGCCACTGACGTAAACAGGACGGGAGGTTGGAGTCCATCAAACGAGAGCCAGGCTGGCGAGACTTCTGGGACACACACACACAAAAAAAAAATGACGGTGCTTGCGTGGGCGTGGAAATTTTTGGCATGACTCGTTGTGCCCCGCATTCTCCCACGCGGGCACACTACCAATGCATACGGCCACCCACAACATCCGCAGCTCCCAAATGCGAAAATTTGCACATCTCTGCGCGAGCCCCCAAGACCCGCGGGCGCGAGCAGGCCGGGGGTGTGTGGCCACGGAAGCCGCTTCTCAACTGCTCTTGACGGTGTAGTCGTCTTCCTCGATGCAGGGCGTGCCGACGGTGATGCCGGTGTACTGGAGGAAGAACTTGGGGTCCACGTCGCTCAGCACCTCGCGGTTGCCCTTCGCTTGGACGATCTGCGCGTGGCGCGTGACAACCGACGACGAGCCGGCACACAAGGCCGAAACCGCAAAACACGGCGAAAACTCTCCAAATGAGATCGCATATATGTAAGCTTACCTAGGGTTGGACGCGGCCGTGCCTTTCGCTCGCATGCTACGATCGCGCCATGGCCACCGCAACAAATCAGCAGCGGGTGATACGTATTCTGCCTTAGATAAGATGATTTTTTTCTCCCCCTACCCTTCAATGTTCTAACGACTACGGCATGCACGACCATGAGTACACCCCCCTCCCCGCCATTTTTCNCTTTATCCCCTACCCACCTTGCTGATGTCCACGTTGACGAAGTAGTCGTACGAGTCAATGTGCTGCCGCATCAGCCCCCTGAGCTTGAGGAAGTGCGGCAAGAGCTTCCACTTCTGCTTTACCCCCGGCACCTGCTCGTGCCCGTCGTCGTCGTACTCACTCCCATCCCTCCTCGCTCCTGTACGCCCCCACCCGTCCGATTCATCGCTCTCGAGAGCGTCTTCGGTGAGGGATGTTCGCAATGGTTCAAACACGAAAAGCGTAGAGCATCAGTCGGGTAACCGAACGGTTCTAGGACATGAAACGGTGAGGCCCGGCGGCAATCTTGAGGTTTGGTAAACCGCGATGACAACATATGATGGCCGGTGGGAGTGTTCTGGCAGCGACACACGGAAACAGAAACATCTTTCCACGAGGAATAACCCTTTTCTCAAGCCCTTGTTCACCGGGTTATATCCTGTGAAACACTCTCAGAAGCTCGTTGCCATGGAGGGCCTCCGAGGTGTCCTCTTGAGGGTATGACTGGTGGGAGAGGGATGGAGCGATAGAGGAAGACTGACACGGTCCGGGCACGTGGGGAAGGGAGACCGCGCTAACCGCCTGGCGTGCGTAAAGACGCTCGCTTTTACGCATACACAACCTTCACGTGAAAAATCCGCAGGGAAAAGCTTATTCCATCATCCGTCCTGGTGCTGCTCCGCCGATTAGTCGTGGCGTCCAACAGGGGCTCCGCGGAAGCGACAGAGAGACTACCGTACCAACGACATGACTATAGATGTTAACACCCCGTGGACCAATCTTCAAAGCTCGATTACTCCACAGCAACAAAACACTGGTGGTCTCCATAATGACGACGTTGGAACCGACTCGTCGAGAGCTTTTCCGAAACAAGCATCGCTCGTTTTGTACATCCGAAAACGTATCGCTCGTTCTGTACATCCTTTTCGTCGTGGAGTACCAACTCGAGCTTATGAATATCGATGCAGGGTGTGTTATTTCTTACGTCACCTAGGTAGACTTCTCCAGGTCTGCTGCGGCGTACACAACAACGCATGTGGACGAGTACGCCGAGTTTCTCGGAGTGAACCAATTTCCGAAGAGGTACGCGTTGCACTATCAGCTTTTCCTGCCACAAACGCCAATCGAACGTTGTGGGCGCCTCGGGATGTACCTATGTACCTTAAACTGCCGTGCTGTGTTCCATCTGCTGCTACCTGATGATGCGTGCCATATGGATGGTGGTACAGTACTGGGCCCTCTATAATGCAGGTTGAATAGTGCAGGTGCCCGGAATAGTGCAGGTAAAATCTCTGGACACAGAGCGCCCTCAATAGTGCAGGTCCTGCACTATTGAGGGAGGTCCCGACATAGTGCAGGTTGGGCACCGCGGTGCCCCGCAATAGTGCAGGTCGGACACACACACGCAAAAACGATAAGTGAGAACGATGGAGTTGGAAGGAAGGAGGATGGCGCTGAACGCACTCCAAAACGAACTAGAGTGTAAGGTAGCAAGCAGCCTTTATCGATACGTGCAGTTTTTTCTGTTGCTACAGTTTCTGTCTTTGATCCGGAGAAGAGCTTAGCCTCCCCCAAGCCGCCCCCTCATTGAGTCCCGGTTTCTAGTGGCATTTAGTCTACAAGTGATTTTTTTTTCAATCGCACTAAGGCTGACGTCTTTTAATTCTCAGCCGGTTAGCGCGGTCGATGTCAATAGTAAAAACACACACACAACACACGCGGACAGCGGACAAACGCAACACAGAAACGAGGGTACACGTACTGCTGCACACCCGAAGAGCTCTACGCAGAGACACAGCATGCCTTGTGCGGACGGTGGATTGTGCCATCAACAAGACAGAACGCCGCAAGCCCCTCATGGTCACGTTGTAAGGGAGGGTGTGGCGGGCGGATCGACTGTAATTGCGGCAGCATGTTTGAGGACGACGAAAAGCACCGCATCTGCAGCAAGTGCGTCGCCAAGCAAGCGCAAAACGTGCTGGGGCGGGACAGTCTACACGGCCGAAGAAAACAAAGGGGGGGAGTACGAAGGGTTCTGGTTCTCGCGCGCGGCCGGACAACAACACGAAGCTTGAGATTCTCAAGTTGATGGATGCGCCAGGCGGGTATGGGAGATTTTTCGCCACGTAGTGAGGGCGGGAGGTACAGCTGTAGCAGTAGTGCTTGTTTGTTTTCTTGTAGTGCGCTTCCTGGCGTGTTTTTTTTTTAGCCTAGTATATAGAATATATCTTGCAACATCAAACGAGGGCAGCGAGGACTCAGAAACACCTCCGTCCACTAAGTACCACTGTTGAAGGATTGGTTCGTGCGACACTTCACGGTGTGCAGTATAGTACGAGTGTTGGGGCAGGAAGAAAATAACGGCGCAGTAATTTTTCTATAACATCTGTGTGTGTGCGACATTANTTCTCGCGCGCGGCCGGACAACAACACGAAGCTTGAGATTCTCAAGTTGATGGATGCGCCAGGCGGGTATGGGAGATTTTTCGCCACGTAGTGAGGGCGGGAGGTACAGCTGTAGCAGTAGTGCTTGTTTGTTTTCTTGTAGTGCGCTTCCTGGCGTGTTTTTTTTTTAGCCTAGTATATAGAATATATCTTGCAACATCAAACGAGGGCAGCGAGGACTCAGAAACACCTCCGTCCACTAAGTACCACTGTTGAAGGATTGGTTCGTGCGACACTTCACGGTGTGCAGTATAGTACGAGTGTTGGGGCAGGAAGAAAATAACGGCGCAGTAATTTTTCTATAACATCTGTGTGTGTGCGACATTAGGGAACCACACGCGTCGCGGCACAGTCTGCCCACGCCCACGCTAGAACAGGGCCCAGCACTTCTGTAATTCGATCACTTTCGTACTCTGTTAGCTCCGCAAAGCATGAGCGCCACACCTTGAAATTAAACATCTCCTCAATAGTGCCGGACCTGCACTATTGAGGTATACTCAGCTTCAATATTGCCGAACCTGCACTACCAAACTTCGACGTTAGCACCGTTAACGAGGGAAAGGGACGACTGGACCCTTCTCGCAACAAAAATAAAAATTCAGCACGCACCGCAGGAGGAAGGAGGGGCATGAAAAGAAATAAAAAGGAAAAAAAGCCCTGGTGTTTACCCCCTCCTGTGTGACCCTGGATGGTTGTAGTTGGACGAAAAATACACTGAAAAGTGTAGTACTCTACATACGCTGAAAAGTGTAGTACACGTTTCACCACGAAAAATAGGGGGACTGTCGCCATAATAAATAGGATGAAAACACACACACACACACTATTGTATTGCCACATTATTCTGATTAGTGCAGGTGCCCGCTTAGTGCAGGTAAAATGTCTGGACACATCCCTGCACTATAGAGGGCCCAGTACTGCTGTACAGCAGCAATGGATCATCTATCCGCCGTTGCAACATGTGGAATCTCCACAAATGTTAGGGCGACGAGACTAAACGTCGACTTTTCACTAGCAGCGAGGCAAATAATGTCAAACTATTCGTTCCAGCGCGTGCCTCTGCTTGCCGCCGGGGTGCATGCCGACAGCACGCCTTGCCGGCTTTCCATTTATCCTTTCCAAGCGGCGGCGTCCACTGGATAGTCTACAAAACCGAATCGCGCAGCACTAAAAAATGCTGTTGAACGCAAAGCCGATACTGTGGGCACAGACTTTTGCAGAGTCCGCGAGTTATGCACGTCTACAGCGGTTTTGCAAGCCTTGATAGCTTCACTCTGTCCGGCTGGCTGCTCTCGCTCCTAGTCACTGCCGAAGACGCCTGCTGCTGTGTCTGCTGCTGCTGCCGGTTTGAAAAAACACATGTTGATGGATCACCTCTATATTTGCGCAAGCCAATCTCCGCCGCTCGTCGACGCCCTTCCTCCGTTAGATCTCTTTCTGCCTTTCCATCAGAGCCGAGCACTTGGGTAAGGAAGGCTAGGTTCGTCGTCGGACCCTTTAACATGAATGCTGCTGCTGCTGCTGCCGCCGCCGCCACAAGCTGGAAGTCACCACAGCAGGGTGGCCAGCAGGACCGGCTCAAAGATCAGGGGCGCCAGCGGGCGCTGGTATGCTCTGCTGCTCGCACTCTCTGCGCACACTTGCTCGAGGGAGACGCCAGCGCCCCAGTTATCCCACGCCAACTTCCACTACGCTACTCGAGCTCGCCGATGCTAGTAGCTGTAAGATCACACGCTTCTAGACAGCAATGGTGCCCGGGCCAACACGACGACGAGGCTGTGTTGGCTGTTGAGTGTCTACCGGGGGGCCAACACATATGAGAACGAGAATTCACGGAGCCCCCTCATGATGGCCTTGACACGCCGACATGCACGCCGACGCGGCCGGGCGCGCGCTGCCTGCGCCGGCGCGCGCTGCCCTGCCCTTTTGTGGTTGATTTTTTTATGAGGCAAGGACACGTGATTCACTTTGTCCAATACAATATAAGCTTCCGTTGATAAAAGTGGAAAATATTTGCACTTGGCGCCCTGCAAGTGACGAAAGGACATTTTTTTTGTTTTTCTCCCATCATTGGACTCTGTCGTCTGCCCCTCTGGCCCCTATCCTCCACTTCTACCAGCTAGACGACCCAACCGGGGTCACATAGGAGGGGGGGTTTGGACCCCCTCCTGCGGTTCCTGCCAGAGATGTTTTTATCGCGAGAAGGGTACAGCAATCCCTTCCCTCGCGACTTACGAAGTCGATTATGGTTTACTAACAAACGAGCTTTGCAGCGCGTCGCTTTCATCCTAGACCAGGATGTATTTAGTGAGAAAAAAACCTCTCTCTGCCGGGACTCGAACCCATGACCTGGCCCTTAGCAGGCTGCGAAGCTACCGACTAGACCACCGGGGCGACCGGGTAGCTCATGCGTTCAGTTGGTCAAAATTTACGAAGTGAATCGATGGCAGCGTGTGTGTTCGCGTCTCATACGCAAAAAGGGTCTCACCCTATCGCCAGACTAAACCCTACAAGACCAGACTTCGGTGCAAATGTTTGTCGTATGTGACGGCACACCAGAGGAAGGCACGTTAACGCAACAGCAGCAAACGTAGCTGACACTGCCCCCTGGAAAATTCTACTCACACCATATAGCACCTGATTGTGTGTGCGTGTGTGTTTTTTTTTGTTTTGTTTTGTTTTTCTCCCATCATTAGACTCTGTCGTCTGCCCCTCTGGCCCCTATCCTCCACTTCTACCAGCTAGACGACCCAACCGGGGTCACATAGGAGGGGGGGTTTGGACCCCCTCCTGCGGTTCCTGCCAGAGATGTTTTTATCGCGAGAAGGGTACAGCAATCCCTTCCCTCGCGACTTATGAAGTCGATCAAGTTTACTAACAACGAGCTTTGCAGCGCGTCGCTTCCAACGGTGTAGGCGTTGGACGAAAAGCGTCGTTACCGCAGAAGGTGGGTTAGACCGATCGATCGCGTTTGTGCCCGGTACAACCGATTTGTGGCGCCCTCATCTAGCGGATAGGTGCTGCTCTCAAACCAAAACACTGAATCTCCCGGTGGCGTTCACTTCTCCTGGTCTCATACACAATGAATGCTTTTTCTTAACACATGAATAGCTCAAATTGTTGAACTGCAACCCGTCAGTAGCGTGCAATGCGTCACGACTATCCTCGACCCACATATTACTACAACCATCAAATTAGATTGCTCCTTGACGGTTCAACGGAAACTTCTTTTGACCCGCCGAAAAGTGTCTCAGTTCTTCCCCTTCTCCCATGACTTCTCTCAGTGGGACCGCGAAAAGGACAGAACGCCCAATGACCAACCACCGCCCCGCCTCCCCAGGATATTCGTGACCTTTTTTTTTACTAGGCACTGCCTGTGCGTGCAACTGCTGTTGTTATCTTTTCTTTGCAGCCCCGCTATTCTTGAGCCATCTGAGAAGGGCAAGTGCCCCGTCTTCTGGCTTGGGCTTCGGGACCGCCTTTACTCGGTTGAGATCCTTGAGCCGGGCCTCCTGCTCTCCAAGCTTGGCCGTGATCTGCCCAAACGCCATCGGTTGGGAATACAGCAGACAAGAAAGAGGGGCAAGATTAGATCCAGGTCAAGCGCGTGGCGCGTCTTGCATCTCTGACGAGCGCGGCAGAGCGGCTCTCAAAGTAATAGTACGCGAAGATAGATGCCTTCGGGACATACTAGAAGGCGAGGCAGTACAGCCAACACAGAGGGCATGTTTCCAACAGTGAGACAAACACCCACCAGTGTCGCGATGGCCCCTCGCAAGAACTGGTATGACCATACACGCTGCTCTGACGCGAAGCCACAGGTCAAGTGCGTTGGTCTATCCGAGCGCTTGACTGGGCAAGCTTGCATGCTACAACCCAGCGATTACCGAATGAGCTCAGACATGGGGAGAGACACTCGCAAGTCGGCGGGTGTGGACAACACGGGTTGGAACACGAAAACAGCGGGCACAAGCAAACATCTTCGTGCAAAATTGGAGACATAGAAACCCATGTACACCGCGCCTGCCGCATGAATCCGGATGGAAAATCGTCGATCCTAAAAAAAAACTAGTAACGACCCAAAGCGTGACTGCAGCGGCGCTTCCTCTACCCCTGCGATTCGAAGATCGTTGGCTGGTGCCCACTGCCTTTCGCACAAACAATCGCAAAAAACACAGTCTCTAGGCCTCTTCACATCCTCGTAACGGACGGCCGTCAAATCTTATTTTCGCCAGCTGCAGACTTTCGTGTGCATTCTGTGCCAACAAGCCCGTTTTCGCCTCATCATCCCTTCTGGTAACCAACAGCAATTTGCTGCCGTTGCCATGTATACGCAGAAAGCACGGCGAACCGCCGGGAAAAGCGTGGGATGCGAAAGTTTTTACCTTATCGGCGCGCTGCGCTCTGTCCCGCTGGTTCTTGTGTAGCTTTGGTGGCCTCAACGGTCGAGGAGCGGGCGCTTCGAAGATATCCCACGCCGGATCCCACCCGCCAATCGCTTTCCCAGTGTCTGGGAGCACAGGAAAGCAAAGGTTTCGAAAAACATCGAATGATCACATGGAGATAGCCCGCAACTACACGGTCAGATACTTGTCAACACATACCACCACGTTGTTGCCATACGGAACGAGGAATACACCAACAACATCAACTGCAGTGTTTCTTGCTGATCATGTTGTTGGTGCGAGGGTGGATAGTGCGGACGCAACGTGTAGCTGAGAAGTAATTAGCGTGAAGAAGTTGCCAGTGATATTGACATACGACTGGCTCTTGTGTCGCCCATTTGCCGCGCGCGGGCCGGGCTTCGTAACCAGCCCCAAGTTTCTCTCTTTTCTCTCTCCCTGCCCCCCCCGCCTCCTGTTCCGGCATAGTGCTAAGTCGCGAAAGCTTCGTCCTTGTAACCGCCCTAGATCCCAAAAACGCAACTAAAGCTACAAAGGATATTACATAGGAAGGCCACTGGCTAGGAAGGTTGGAAACACCATTTAAGGCTTGACAGGTAAAATGTAACATGGTGTTTGGCGGCATGGGCCCTTCGGTGAACCATTCCCTACCTGCTGGAACATTTAGCCGATAGAATGATTAACCATATAACCTGCTGCGCGCACACGGCAGGCATGCTGTTTCGTACCAAAGCCTCGCTATGCGTATGACTTAATACCGCTATCGACTCCCAACAAGGATGCTTTCCTACCCGTGTGGGGGGGGTGGTATCTTCAGCACAGGTTTGGAGGTCTGCGGTGTCTGTCGGTGCTGACAAACCAAAGAAGCGTGCAAACGTTCTCATGCACTGGCAATATCCTCTCTGACGACCACGGGCGGGCCCGCACGAGTGGAGAGAACTGCCAGATTGGGCACCAATCGAGAGTGCTTTGCAGGCAGCCAACATCTACATGTAACATCGTCCGTACAGCACCAGACCAGCAGTATGCACGAAGAGGATCACTCGCGAGAACATATCACGCACTCACGCTGTGCTTGCGTGTCCTCATTCGGAGCGCCGCAAACGGCATTTCTCTAACTAAGGTCGCTGACCTTCATCGATGACTATCGAGCCGAATGACCCGTCCCTGATGGCCTTCTTGCGGAGCACGTTCGCCTTTCGTCTCGACACCCGCGGCGTCTGCCACTTGTGTGCCCCGGCGACCCTTTGCGGCTTCAATGCCTCCGCCCCGAACCTCACCAGCCTGTTCATGGCAAACCGAAGCCCCTCCTCCTGTCTAGAAGCTTCTTCACGTAGCCCAGACAGAAGAGGTAGAGAGTGCGAGCTTGTTTCGGATGATACAACAACCTCTGGCTCTCTAGTCTCGTCTCTGCTCCTCTCTCTTGATACTGGGTACTTGGCTGCTTGTCTTCGTGTCTTCGTGTGGGGAACCGTCAAACCGTACTTGCGCATCAAGCACACAGTAAAAACTCCTAGCTGCGGCTCCCCTCCTCCCCGAACCTGGAGCCAGAACATTCTCACAGCAACCCGACTAACTTCGCCAAACAACGAAGCAACGACATTGTAACTTCGCCAAACAACGAAGCAACGACGTTGGCAAGTGTTTTTGGGCCGGCTTGTGGTGGTGGTGGATCATGAGTCCATCGAGCACAAGCCGCAGACGAAGGAGAAGTAGAAGCGACAGCCCCCTGAGGAGCGGAGGAGCGGCGACGGGGGCCGAACAGCGGCAGCAGCGACATCCGCGAAGCACGATGATGAGTCGACGGACGGAGGGGATGCTTGCGTTGGCAGCGGGCCTGGTGCTTGCGGGAGGGGTTAGCTCGCAGTTTACGGATGGCGGCGCCGTGGACCTCTCGTGCGGGCTCTGCGACTGTACCGGGAGCTCGGACGGCGTCTCTTTCGTGGTCTTCGACAACCCTTCCAGCGGGGAGCGGGTGAGAAGCCATCAGAAACGTCGGCATAGTTTTTAAGCATAGACTATCTCCGAACCCGAAAAACAAACGGCCGGGGAAATGTGTGGCCAATTTTATTCCGAGATTTCCGACGGTTGATTTGGCTTGAGCCCTTCGTGGTGGCTATGACTGCTCGTTCGGAGCTCGCTCGCCCCCACGCTCAGCAACATAATGCAACAGCAGGTAGTGAAAGCAGCACCGGTTGTGGCGGTGGCAGCAGGAGGAGGATCAGACCTCCGTGTGTTTGCGAACTGGAAACAACCTTGTGTGCCGCTGCTGTGCAATCCACGCTTTGGTGAAGCATCTTGGAATAGAAGGAATCAATCAGGCAGCAGTGCTCGTCACTTAACGCACCCTGAACAACCACCACCAGAATGAATCATGGCATCATGGCACACCCGCACCCCTTCCTCTGCATGACTGCAGCCGCCCGGGCCAGAACCTCACCCTATCCCCTTTTGGTGGGACAAATGCGGGTCGTGCAGGTGGATGCTATCGAGGGGCGAGAGAGGCCTCATCATTGACGCACCTTGCTGCTTCTGCGTACAGAAACAATGATGTCGTGAGCAACGGGTCCACGTCTTCACTTCCTCTCACAACCACCAAATCAACCGTTCAATTTCAAACCTCAAACCCCACCACCCCTTCTGGTGTGCCCACAGCTGTTCGCAAAATATTTCCTCAACACGGGGGCACGGGAACCTCCTGTTTGCCTCGTTTTCTTGAGCTCAACATCTCGGGGATGTGATCAGACTCGCGTCCTCCCCCTCCCCCTCCCCCTCCCCGCCGGCTGTTCTAAGCTGCTCCTTCCTCACCCCGAACGGACGGGCTCGGATTCGACGTCCTCATTCAGCACATGCATGTGCAAATGCGATGCACATATGCACTCAGCGTTGATACAGGTCCACCCCCCTCTGTAGGGCAAATGAAGGACAGGGAATTACAGACGGCGATTGTCAATTTTTCGCGTGCTGTGCAGCAAACACCAGGATTGTCCACCCACGAAAGAATCGCGGTGCATTGCGCGCACATACACATGTATGGGATAAAACCCTTGGGCAGCCTGATTCTCTTTTGAAAATGTGCGTAAATTCACAGAAAGAGTATTCGTTTAGATTTGTATTACCACGGCAGTGGTCGAAAGGGAGGTGTTGAGAATGCTTTCAGTTAGCGGAGGGGAAAATTGGCGTTGTGTTATGACTGTTCAAGCCTAGACACTGAATTTTACCAGTGCACCAGCTGGTGCGAAGTTCATAGCATCTTTATAAATGGTATGCATAGCTAGATACATTTCACATCCCCTTGTAGTTCTCACCTTGCGTCAATGACGACAACAAGCGACTGTTGTTACTAAGGCCGTGCTGGAGTGAACAGTAGTGCTAACGACTGCTGAGTGCCACCGACTGCTGCAAAAGCAAGCTATCTTGTTTTTTTTGCTTTTTTCGTTCGCTCAATGTCTGATGTACAACAAGTGTGCGTACAACGGTCACAAAACCGAGGGCCAGGTACGGCAAATAGTACGATGGTTGTTGTTGTCGTTGTTTCTCACATTAGCTCGATAGTCCACAAAAAATGGGGAGCCCGTGGTCTCAAAACCCGGCACATGCGACGCCGCGGGGAAACAAAACAATAATTGGATAATTGGGTATAATGACGTTACTATTATAGTTCCTGTCGGAGACAGAAGCCGATACGCTTGCAGTATTCTCCCACTGCCAAGGGTGGCTATTTCCTTTCGTGAAATGTAACGAAGAGAGGAAGGTAGAAAAAGAGTGACCAGAGGGTCGCGAGAGGAGAGCCGGAGGCTCCCCATCTCTTCCCTCGGCAATCGGCCATGGACTTCCGCAGAGACGAATCTCCTCGGTGTTTTTACTGGTCACTTCTCCCGATGGCAAGTTACCTCGAGGCATCAATTCCTACACTTAGTATGTGCACAAATAGTTGGTCATCTATTCCGACCGGTGTCCTCCACATCGCCCCCCCCCTCTATGCGCCACAAGTCCATCTGTGCGCAAGATGTGCTCTTGGCGTCCAGAGACATGAGTGGCTCATGGAGACGCATGTCTCGGAAATAACCTATCCATTGCACAAAATCATCAACCAGGTCTGATTTATCGTAGAAAGCGTGTTGAGAAACACGGAGTCCTCAGACGGGGCGATGAATGTGGTCCATACTGGTGTAGTCTAGAAAACTGGTGGGCACTGGGCTATCATAATGACAGCTAGGGTACTAGATTATTTTCCCGTGGTCATGATCGCGTGGCATGCCATGTGGGGGTAGACTTATAGTAAGGTGAACCCTTGGCAAGTCTGCCTATTCATCATAAATAAGATCTTGGGATAGCGGTGGCTTACAATTGATTCTCCTCGCCAGTCGCCAGGAGTTTCCCTATTATTTTAGATACTTGTATACAACATCATATCCACTGAGCTAAACAGTCAGCGCTGACTGTTTGGGTCAGTGGATGTGTTGTAAATCTAATAAAAGTACAACCAGGGTCCGAACAGCTGGTAGGCTGGCGGACTCTGGTTTTCCCCCAGGCTTGAAATCCCTGTAATCAGCGCTGCCCCGAGCGGTTCATCGGCTTAGAGGCGAGGATATGTGTCTTCATCGTTGACGACTGGCGATGTGTACCATGACTTTCAGGTGTGTATTCCAGACTTTTTTTTTTTTCCTGAAAACAGGCGTTAAGATGGCTCCCAGAAGGATTCGAACCCTGGTTGTACTTTTGTTAGATGTACACCATATCCTTGACCTCGACGCCTAGAAAGCCGTTGTCCCCGAAGCTTTCGCGGAGGTGGAGGAAGCGGTTGTCGCCCGCGACGACCAAGGCACCGATCGTTGGGTGCTAGAGAGGGTTGGTATTTCTCTGGATGGCGTCATCCGGGCGGCTTCGTCACTCTCCAATTCCAACCTGCAGACGGCCCTTAGCAATCTCGTGGCCGCCGGCGATGGCGATGGCGATGGGCGACATAGAGCGGACGCCCTTGCTGAACCATCAGTATGCTCGGGCCAAGGGAGACGGGTGCAGGAACTATACTACGTGGGCCGATACTACGTGGGCCGTCCTAACCCATTAGGCGTTAATCAAGCAATAATCTCACCTTGTCCGTGTGGGTAACGTAAGTACGCTTCGTTTTCTTGGCCGCAGACCCAGGAGTCGAAGCCAGATTTCCGCCATCGCCGCCAACCCCCGCGCGCTGGCCCACCCCGTCCAGCTCACTGAGAAGATCCTGCATGTCCTCGTGCGTACGCTTCTGAGCGGCCGTCCCCGCCGGGGGAGCACTTGCGACGCTGAGGATGTCGTCGTCGCGTCCCCCCAACCTTCCGCGGCCACCGACACGCCGCTGGAGGTGAACGCAAGGCGCGGAAAAAGCGAATGCCCACCCGCGACCTTCAGGCTCCCACGACCGGAGCACCGCCAGAGAAACTCCGCCAGCTGCGCGCACATGTCCCGCTTAGCGCGCTCTTCTACCTCGCTCGACAGACCCCCGGCGCTAACCGCCGCGGAGCAAATCTTGAAAAATTCTGGGGGATTGTCGCCATCGCCGGCGGCCACGAGATTGCTAAGAGCTGTCTGCAGGTTGGAAGCGGAGAGTGACGAAGCCGCCCGAATGACGCCATCCAGAGAAATAGCAACCCTCTCCAGCACCCAACGACCGGTGCCTCGACAACCGCTTCCTCCACCTCCGCGAAAGCTTGGGGGACAGCGGCCTTCGAGGCGTCGAGGTCAAGGATGCCCGACATGACGGCCGAGAAGCGGAGAGAAGCGGAGGAAGAAAGACGAAGAAACTACCCCACAGAGAAGAGAGGGGAGGGGGAAGAAGAGAGAAAACAGGATCGACGAAAGGAGGGACTCCCCCGGAAGTCGCTCCCCGCCCCGCCCCGCCCCGAAGCACAGCGTACGGGGTAGCGCGCGTGCTGCCGAGTGAAAGGCTTCACCGATCGGTTTTCAATTTGTGTTTTCCTCTCGAAACAGGGTGCACAATTTAAAAGTGAGCGAGTCTCCTGGCTCTCCAAAATATGGACTCTTTATTCCGAGACAGATCTGGGAAAGATTCTATAGACCACTTGCAACAGAACCCCCCGCACCAAAAAAAAAGCTCTGGGCGGAGGGGGGGTGGTGGTACAAAAAAAATAAATTTATTTAATCCGCCTTTTTTTTTTAAGAATACACACTCTACAGCAGCAGCAGCCGCGCCACGAGCGAGGGCACACACCCAAAACCTCCCACAGCAGTGGGCACACCCTCTCACGGCGACACAACAGTGGACAGGATGATCCCCGTTTCATCAGGGAAACCGTGCCATGTGGAAGGTGGCTGCAAGAACCTGCAGGCCCCCTTGGTAGAAATGACGATGTGTCCAGGAATGTACACCCACTACACGCACTCCTCGTGCCGTGACTGGGATCACGCCTACTGCGGCCGCAACGGTTGCATTAGGCGTGGGTCAGGAGCGGTGCCCGCGGGCACGGGGGTACAGCAGTCCGTCGGCGAGCCCCCTGCTGGTGGGTCGGTTTCCGCAGCTTAGGCA